TGAGTTGATAACATGTAGGCTAGAAATTTTGTACTCCTTGAGGCCTGGATTAATTATTATTTTGTCATCCTGAACCAATGTTGCTGAAAAGAAGAAGATTTTTACACCAAAGCTCAAGGATCCTTGTATAGTTTTTATAGCTGCATTTGATTGTAGTGCTGCCATTGCACTCATATACACCTGAGCATATGATACCAAAAGATCTGTGTAATTATATTTATAAGATTGAGGCTTGCTTTCATGTATATAAAAGACATCATTTCCTTTATATACAGCTAAATCTGCTTGCCTGTTATAACCATCTCTATGATCTATTATCCTCCTTTCTGGTTTAAGTTGATATTCATCATTTTCTTTATATATCTCTTTAGTTATGAAAGTGTTGGGATTTTACAGGGGATCTCCAAAATGAGATGGGGTTCTATAAGACTAGTATTTATTTATTTAAAAATAACAATAAAAGTAAAATCTATAGAAACAATAAACTAAGTAAAACTGTTATAAAATAATATTCAGAAATACCTATAAGGTACTTATGGGTTGTTAAATTTATATATATATATTTCTAAGAATGTGATAATGTTGGAGTTTATAGTAAAATAATATATTTTATAAACAAGGATTGCACTAGTCAACAAAAGAATATTTGTTATTAACTATGAAGTTTTTTCTTGATCAACAGATCTTGTTGTTTGGATAGGGTTGATTAGATCCCCATATCACTCCTGTGGTGTATATGTATACAAGCCATTTTCCCAAGGGTTTCACACATCATACCTTCCCTTTCAACAATAATAATATCACAGAAAGCTATTGCAACAGTTGCAAAAACTTGGCTTTCTTCATATTTATTGGCCATTGCATAATTTACCCTTATCCCTGTCATCTGAGTATCAAGCTCAACTAGCTCAAACCACTAGTGATAAGTCATTGTACTTGTGGAAACCATCATCATTAAATAAACAAGTACTTGATAGGTACTTTATTGATAAAATAAATAAAAGAAAACCTCACACTAAAACCAAAGTGTATCAAAAATCAAAGCTATATAAAGGCCAAACTAACCCATAATATGATGGTTACAACAGTACTTATTGACAGACCAGGGTCGTCCGGGACAAGCCTCAACTGTTCTGGATAAGTTATCACTGAAAAGACTTTCGTTCAGAATGGTTCAAAATCATTCAGAACGGGGATAAGGGAAAAGCACAAGGGTGCGTGAATAACAGAATAAAAATATCATTCAGGATGAATATGAATGGGGAAGGGAATGTAAATAAAGATTGTCAACTAAAAATCGTCTGGAATGACAATGGACGGTAAAGAATGATTTTATATGGTAAACAATAAGGTTTAACTATAACTCTTCAAATCCTTTCAACCACAACTTTATTTTTAAATAAATAAAAGTATGATTTTATAAAAGGTAATGAAGATGGTGAAACTCTTCATTGAACTAAACTAAACTAATAAAAGGTAAATGAGGAATGCAGTCCTCAGCTTCTAATCATGATTGATTCAGAATCACTCTGATCAACTGAAAGTTGTTCAGGGTGATCCTGAATTGTTCAGGACGGAATAATCCCATCTGGGATCATTCAGGGCATACCATGTGGGCTACGGCCCAACACTTATCTTTCCCTTAATTTTACTCATATCATAGATTTTTTAATTTAACAGGGCAAGTGAATAAGTCTATTGATGTTTTTCAAAATATTGGTTATAGAAATAAGGACTATAAATAGAATTACAAAAATCTATATAAATAGGACATCTTTTATAAATAAACCTGTTACTGTCATGGCTTGTAATAATAGAATTCATTTTAGGGACTTGAGAGTGATGTTTAGGGTGATTTTTTTCAAATAAATAAGTAAGGCAGGATAAATATCTTTTTATAGTAGACTGAATCAGTGCAATGGATATTTATTAGAGATGTATTTAATATTTGAGCCTATATTTGAAGCACTAACATAGTATATACACAATTATCAAGGCATCTGAGTCAAGGATTCCATAGCACTACTTAGCATTAACTACTAAACAACATAGCATTGAGATTCAATGAATAATTTAAGTGATATAGTATCTAAAAACTATTTTTATTACAAAAAAATAAACCACAGCCTAATATACTCTATCTTTAAAATTTACTATGCATAATACAATTCTGAACCAAAAGTTTCTGAAAAAGATATCATAATAATTTTTTCATATTTTTACTCAGTATATTCATTAATAAATAGGGCTTCTAAAATGGATAGAGAGCATTCATTATTAAATTACACTCAGCCTTGTGTTCAAAAAGATAATGGTGAAGTGTGTAGCATATTTTTAATTTATTGCAAAAGAAGCAGACAGTTGAAAACTCTATGAGGATTCGGATGTAAATTATTAGTTTTATATTTTGGTTCCTTTTTATACAATCTAAACAATAAAAAGGTGGATAGCAAATAGGCACACGGTCATTGCTGATCATAGCATTTCAAATGTATAATGGTTTCTTTTTAATTATCAATATTATTATTATTGCTGTTGTTTAGCTCTTTAATAAGTGGCAATTAATGAGTTCTAATATACTCGGTATAACTATTGACAAATTTCACTTTATTTTGATAATACCTAGCATTAACTCGCAAGATTCAAAAAAGACCATGATAGGCATGACAAATTGATCATATTTTACCAATATTTTGCATTGGGTCGATGCTGACTATCGGTACAACCATAGTCAGTTGCCAAGAACATTGTCTCTTATATGATCCAATAAAATGTATGCCGGATATAAGCATTTCTTTAACTTTTGGCTCAAGAATAGACTATTTGATATGTGGAAATTACCATTATAATTATTTCAATAAAATAAAATGCTAATTAATAATATATCAATTGTACGTTCTCATAAAACCAATTTGATTTGATCTAAATATATATAGCATGACTTCTTTAAGCTTTGCTGTTTTTATGGTTAAAGATACCTTGAAGCAGCCTGACCAGGCCCAGTAATTTCTTTTCATTAAACTATATTCGATAGTTTGTAAGTTTACAATATTATATTTTATTCAACCTTTAAGGAAGCACTTTTAATACTAACTTTGAAAACATCAATGATAATAGACACACATTTGCTTTTGGTATACAATGCCTAAATCCAAAGTATCATCAAAAACCTTGGAACCACCTCCAAAGAAGGCAAAGTTTATTGAAACTAAACCAGCTGAAAGTAATCAAGCTGCTACAATATTTGCTACATCTAAAGAGCCACCACCACCAACACCAGGAGTGTCCAAAATCTTGGATAACAAGACCAGTGATAAATTGGTTGAGGGTAAAAGTGGTAGCAGCAGTAGACCCCGAAAAAGTAAAGCTGCAGTAGCCAGGATTCCTTCAAAAATAGATTCAATCATATCTAACCTGCACATAAAAGGCGTTAAAGTACACAGTGACATTCCTGGGTATCATCGCATTCTTACCCACAAAAACATTATAGTCCACAGCATAATGACCAAATACGATCGGAAAGCACATGAGAAGATCTTGGAATGCAACAAGTACATGAATCCCTTCAAATGTCTAAAGACCAGTAGGATGGGAAGAAAGATAGTAGAAAGACCAAGGAATTTTGTTTCACAGATGACGGCAAGAAATGGCGATATGCTGGAGGCTATACTGCTTGTGAAAGAAAGGAAGGACCCTTGGCCTAGACGTCTCTTTAACTTGAAAAGCAAGAGTGAATTTGGATATTATGAGTATTTCATCAATCGGAATCTTCTTTATGCTTGTGAGGCTTTGGATAAAGGCGATGAGTACATTGATAACCTGCGCTAAACTGTATTAGCATTTGATATATAATATCACTCTTATCGCTGATGGTTATGATTTTCCCAATTTCTTTTCTTTTAAGTACTTGACAATAAATGCTGAATTTACAAATACAGGCAATAATTATTGAAGGGTGAATGGCTATAGGGGCAATCACGGCTAAATGATGTCCAATTTTAATAATATTTGCCCTTCAAAAATTATCTTCCACATGTTCATTTTGAATTTTTAACAATAGATAATATTTTCCTTGTGATATTGCATTCGTATAAAGTAATAAAGGATGCCATGTCATTGATATATACAATATCATTTTCATTTACCCACTCAATAAAAAATATCAAAACTATAATGAATCAAATGGTACTAAGAGTGATAAAACTATATTAAAAAATAAATCTGTACTTTAACATTTCCCCTCCTCTTTTCATAATATTTATTGCACACATAACAATATCGGGTGTTTTCTGTAGTTTATAAATCCCTTTTTTTAACTACAAAATAACATTTAAACCATCCACTACCGACATACTAAATAATCAAAACCACATACCTATCCAGAATGACCAAAAAACAATTTTCAGATGAATTCAAAAATTTGGACATAATAATCGACCAAATAGAACTACTACAAACACATATCAAACAATACAAAACAAAAATAAAAGAAAATAACTTTAATCAGCGAGCTTTTGAAGTAGAAATAAAGTGGTATAAAAATCCAAAGTCGCTATCATCACAATCTAAACAACAACCACAACAGCAGCAGGAGGAGAAACAACATAGACATATAATAGAAAGATACCATCAAAAATTAGCGGAATGCAACGAAAATGATAAAATTTATTCAAATACTCTAAGCGTGCTACTAAGAAATGAACGAAAGTTGTTGAGACGCATGTGGGTATGTGTATGCTTACTTAAAGAAAATATGGAAGATCCATTGAATATACGTTTTGAAGATAAATACGAATGATATATTTGTTCAAGTTTATGACAATATAGCAGAATTGTAAAAATATATAAACAAATATCAATTTCCCAATGTGAATAAACTTTCGAATAGAAGCAATTGTAAAAATTAGAGAACAATGGTTAATATTAAATCTGGTAATTAATCACGGGTAATTCGCATTGGTATATATATTAACTAATTTCATTTTGCTCCGATAACATTTGGTCCAGTGGCCTAATCGAAAGGCGCCAGTTTCCGGAGCTGGAGATTGCGAGTTCAAGTCTCGTCTGGATCGACCTTTTTTTGCTTTGATCAGTTTTTTTTCATAAACTTGTCATCCTCAACATTTCACACACTCTCCAATTTATAGTTCAAGCTTATTACTATTATTATAAATTAATAGTAGGAAAAGATTAAATAACATTCATTTTAGTAATAATCACTATCAAAAAAACATTTTTTTGCAAATAAAGAAAAAGAAAATAATGAGACAAAAACTAATTGTAAGAAGTACTAGTAGTAATAGTATATGTCATTGTTGTATTTGTGGTACCTGGAGGTGGTGAAAATGAAAAAGGAGCGAGGAGGAGTAGGCGAATGTATTAAAATGATTTCATTTATAAATGTAAATGTATTGTTTTTCAGTAGTGTTACGACAAGAGAGAACATGGAAAGTGGGGGGAGAAAAAGAAGGAATGACGACGGCTATATTGCAGTGTATTTAATATAATGCTATTGTTGTTGTTGTTGTTGTTGTTTGTATTAAAGAAAAATAAGAGAGATAGAGAGGAGAGAGAGATGAATGGATAGAATAGTAGTAGTTTGTTTAGTAGAGATATAAATAAATAATAAATTAGCGTTTCATTCCTAATTGCTGTTGTCTCTGCTGATGCTGTTGTTGCTTCATTGCCAACGCATGGCTGGTGGTATTGGGATTATACATGGAATTGTTTCGTGTCAAGCCAACTACTTTTTGCTGTGGGTGCTGCTGCTGCTGTGGATATTGAGGATTCATCATGGCCATTTGATGAGGCACCAAGCCAACCATTGCTCCCGGTGCATTACCACCACTCATTGCCTGCTGTTGCTGCTGCTCAAGCATCCATGGATGCATAGCCGCTTCTTTAGGTGTTAACCGGACACTTGGATCCCATGCCAAAGCTCGCATCACAAAGTCTACTAGTTTTGGGTCACGTGCCCGGGCCAATACCTGTGACAATGGCCGGCTTCCAACGCGCCTTCTTTTACCCTTTGAATTAGTGTACGCTCTGATGACCCAGTTTCCAACCTTAAACCCGCCACCCATTGAATTGGGCATGTAAACGTTTTGCTGGTTAGATATGTTTCCAGCTGTACCAGTGGCTAACGCAGGGTTCATAATTTTACGGAAATCGTCAGCAAACTCGTCTCTTCTGGGCGCCCTTTCAATCATGTATCCAGGCGGAGGCCCTAGAACTTCCATTATGCAAGCCAGCTGCTCACGTTCATTTTCACCTGGGAACAATGGGAATCCGGTCAACAACTCTGCGACTATACACCCTAGCGACCACATGTCTATACCAGTGGCATACGCATGACCAAGAATGACTTCTGGCGATCGATAGAATCTTGACTGAATGTACGTGTAAACTCGCTCAGTTTCGAAACAACTGGAACCAAAGTCAATGACCTTGATTGTGTATAAGCCTCTCTCGATATCGCGAACTAATTGGTTATGAGAAAGTGGGTGGGCGGGTCTATGTGAACCTCCACTATTGCTGTGGAGGTATGAGGCTGCTGCGCTGTTTGATCGTGGGTTGGAGTTATGATCAATCACTTGTGGAGGCTTGACTCTTAACAAAATGTTTTCAGGCTTGAGATCACAATGTATAATTCTATGCTGGGACATCAACCCCAAAGCATAAAGAATCTGTCTTGTAAAGTGCTTCAACAATATGTTTGGGGTTCCAGCAAACTGATTAGCTTTGAGCCATTCATACATGTTGATCGACAACAATTCAGTAACAATACACAAATGATTGCGGAAGTAGAAATGGTCCGTCATCTGCAACAAACAATGAGAATTGTCTGGATCCCATCGCCGTAGACACTCCAGGAGCTTGACTTCGACCAAAGCCTGGTGGTGGAACCGTTTACGGTTTCTAATTATCTTGATGGCCTTTGTTTCGCCTGTTTTGTGGTCCATAGCCTTCAAGACTTGGCCAAATGAGCCCTTTCCCAACAATTCGGTCAATTCGTATCGATATAAAAGGTGGTCGTTAAGTCGTACAAGGTAATCGCCTCGCTCGTCGTCGAATCCATAGTTACCGCGTCCCTGGGCTCCTCCATTGGAATTGCCTCCAGCTAGTCCTGGCTTGCTCTTAGGATGTCCAATAAAGTATATGTGGGGATATTCCAATATCTCGCCTCTTTCAAATGTTGTGAGCATGTTTCCATGATGCTTAAGTACATCCTGTGGTGTCCGGGCTGGAACAGCCGACGCTGAGGGCTTTGATGATACTGGTACCTGGGGTGGTAATGGATGCGGTCTCATAGGCGATATTGGGCTTGTTGTAGCCAGCATTCCGACATTGGCTCCATTCATCGCCATAATGGCCGATCCTGGAATTTGGTTGGGATATCCAGCACCGCCACTTACTCCAGCAGAAATGGGCACATTTATGTTCATGTGGGGTTGAACTGATTTCTGCGATGGTGGAATTATTGCATTTGACACAACAGGCAAAGGATGTTGATATGACGTTGCCATTGATGTTGCTAGCACATTAACATCAGACACGGCACTCATGGGTAAACTGTTGCTGCCATTGCCCATTGGGAAGTGAATTTGCACTTGCTGAGGCTTTTGTGGTGGCTGGTACCGATGATTACCAGCACTTGTCGCTGCACTATTAGCATACTGGGGCTGGTTTTGCATATTCATTGACATCATTGGGTGCGTCTGCATTGGAATTGGTGGTGGTTTGTTGGTGTTAACACCACTATTGCTGGCTCCGCCTACAGAGCTTGCCAATGTGCCTGTCGAACCTTTGGGTCTGATGGCAGCAGGTTTTCCTAGGCCACCACCACTGCTGTTGCTGCTGCTGGTTGGTGCTTGGGGCAAATAAACGGCTTGGCCAGTTACTATCTCACCATTAGAAGGTGCTTTGGTTACACCAGTAGTTAGTGATGATGAAGCTGCTATTGCTGTGGAGGTTGACTGCTTCTGATTTCTTGGAACGTATTTTGAGGTCACTCCACTAGAAGATGAAACAAATGATGATCCTAGGGTTGGTTTAGAAACACTGGTAGTGCTACCACCTTTAGACGATAATTGAACCGTCATTCCTTGATGCGATCCCTTGCTACTGTTACTGTTGACCCCAGAAGACGAACTCGCAACATTGAGTTTATTACTCAAATCACTTCGCAAATGATCTATGGAATATCTCGATGACGCCTCAGCGCCAGAAGTGGGTGCATGAGCAGCTGAATTGAGTGCAGCATTATAGGCTGTCGAAGTAGATGGCTTAACAGATGCTGACATGATCTTCTTTGAGACCTCCGCCGCAGATATGACAGGTTTAGGTGGTCGTGGGCTGGGCTGACCCAGCGAATTTCTCGATGACTTGCCTGATGCCAAAGATGAGCCAGAAACGCCTAGCCGGCTCCGCTCGTTACCACCATTAATAATCGAACTTGATTGGGATTGTGATGATTTGGTTCTTATTGCTGTTACTGATGTTAAAAGTGGATTCGATCTTTTATCTACTACAACCTTGGAGCTAGATACCATACTTGGCCTTGTAGGCTGCTGCTGTGTCGACAAGATTATACTACTACGTCTCGAGGATGGTCCGCTTGCACCCCCACCACCACCACCAGTAGCTGAAGGGTGAAGTGGAGGTTTAGCCACACTCTTTGAGCTCACTCCATCAACAATTCCACTACCACGTCGATATTCCTTATTCTTTGATACTGTAGTACCACTTGATCTGCCCCCACCACCACCACTACTACTACTATTATTACTATTGGTGCTTGCTCCAGGCGTACTTTTACTCTTGTATGCACCCACCGTAGATGTATTTTTAGCTGTTCCACTGCTGCTGATCTCCAATTTGGCGTGAACAGTCCTTGGGGCACTAGAATTAACATTATAAGTAATATTGGCCATTTTGGTATTTCCTCCGCTGGGCCTTCCAGAATCGCTAGTGCTGGCCACAATGGTTCGTAAATTTGGATTGTATCGTCTTTGTGTAACCCCACCACTACCAGAAGAAGTATTTTGACCACCACCTTTATTGCTTGCTACAGATCCACTTCGGCTATTAGGTCCACTACCAGTAGCATTCCTAGTCGAGGTAGTCGAAACATGTGTAGCTCTTCGTCCAGTTCTAGCTAACCCTTCCGTCCCACTGCCTGTACCACCACCAGCTGTAGCAGCACTCGTTAATCTTCTTCCTGATCCAGTTGAAGCCAAATTGGCTCCTCTGACACCACTACTTGTATTGTTGTTGTTAATGTTGCCTGAAGGCTTGGAATTAGAAGCGACGGAAGTATTAGATATTGACGTTCTCAATGGTTTGGGTGGTGGAACTTTAGGATTGAGTACCGACGAGTATCCTTCATGACCTAATCTTTGATTTGTTCCTGAGCCGGTAGTCCCTGAAGTAGCGTCACCACCACCAATGGGCCTATTCAAATACGTCCGTGATGGTTGGTCTGCCCCACTGCCGCTATTACTATTACTGCTGGCATTAGAATTCCCTAAAGCACCGGCGGCAGTAGTGGTCATTGCGCTTTTCCGCCGTGATCTGAGATTGGAGTTTAAATGTGAACTTGCAGCAAACCTGCTATTTTCATTGCTAGTGGCACCAGATGAAGATGACGATAAGTTGGCGCTGTTGTTTTTAGATGCCATTAGTCTCTGGTATTCTCCAGTGACTGCCACCATTCTCTTTGAATGCCTTTTATTACAACTATTTCGTTTAGACGGAGATAATGGCGATGAGACTAGTGTTGCTGTTACTGTCGCAATCGGCCCTGGTATCAAAGAAGGCGAATAATTTTTGGATAATGGCGAGCGAGAATTGCTGTTGGAAACTTTAAAGTATTCTTCTTCGTCTTCTGGATCACTAAACCCCGTGGCATTAATCTTTGAGGAAAAGATATTAGGGATTTTGGATTTTTGCGCTCTGTTGATTCCTCGGTATATTTTAGAATAGTCTTTTGGTGGATTTTTTGGAACGTTTTTAGCCAAAAAAAAGGTTCAAGGACTCGATCTTGGCTATATACAGACAAAGGTATTAACAA